TTAGTCGGTCATGGGGCCTGAACTCTGGGCTTGGGCATTGTCCCTCAGCTCTTCAGCTCAAGGCTAGTGTTCTACTACTTGAGCTTCAGCCCCACTTCATTTTTTTCTGTTTATGTGGTGCTGAGGAATCAAACCCAGAGCCTCATGCATGTAAGGCAAGCACTCTACCACTGAGCCACCTTCCCAGCCCCCAAAAAGGTTCTTTTTAAAGAACTTCTAAAAATCCATCTAGTTGCCAGGTGCCAGTGGCTCACACTGGTAATCCTACTACTCAGGAGGCTGAGATCTGAGGATCGCGGTTCAAAGCCAGCCCGAGTCTGTGAGACTCTTATCTCCAATTAACCACTCAGAAAACTCGAAGTGGTGCTATGGCTCAAGTGGAAGAGTGCTGGCCTTGAACTGAAGAGCTGAAGGACAGAGCCCAGGCCCCATCACTGACCCCCTCCCAAAAAAAATCCACCTAGTTATGGAAATCCAAGTATTAGGTATGGATGACAGGGTAGTAGTAAATAAAGAAAATGATATTTCAAAGGAATAAATCACTAACACCAGGTAAAATACAATTTAAGAATCCTCAGATTTCAAACGGCAGCATTAAATTTCTAATCAAGGGTTCAACTTCCAAAGACATGTTGCATTTGCTTTTTTTAAGCAAAACAAATTCTGGACTCAAAGTCTCACAGAAAATAGAAAGGACGAAGTCACTTTTTTTGTTGGTGGTGGTGGTAGGGCCTCTGTTGGGCGTTGTCCCTGAGTTCTTCAGCTGAAAGCCAGCATTCTACTACTTGAGCCACAGCGCCACTTCCGGCTTTTTCTGCTTATATGGTGCTGAGGAATTAAACCCAGAGCCTCAGGCATGCAAAGAAAGCACTCTACTACTGAGCCACCTTCCCAGCCCTGGAAGTCATACCTCGCCTGTAATCCTAGCTACTCAGGAGGCTGAGATCTGAGGATTGCAGTTCAAAGCCAGCCCAGGGAAGAAAGTCCATGAAACACTTTTTTTTTTTTTTTGACAGTTGTTGGGCCTGAACTCTGGGCCTGGGTGCTGTCCCTCAGCTCTTCAGCTCAAAGTTACCGATCTAAACACTTAAGCCACAGCACCACTTCTGGCTTTTTCTGCTTATGTGGTGCTGAGGAATAGAACCCAGAGCCCCATGCATGCAAGGCAAGCACTCTACCACTGAACCACTTTCTCAGCCCCATCCATGAAACTCTTATCTCCAATTAACCACCAGAAAAGTGGAAGTGGTGCTATGGCTCAATGGTAGAGCACTCGCCCTCAGCTGACCACAACAGACAAAAAAAAAAAAAAAAAGGCAGGGTTGGGAAAGTGGCTCAGTGGTGGAGTGCTTGCTCTCTGGTCACAAAAATAATTATAACTAAACAAATGTATACATAACCAAGAAAACAGATAAGAAAAGGTGACCTCTGTGGATGAAAACAAAACATTTTGCAGGGCTGGGAAGGTGGCTCAGTGGTAGAGCGCTTGCCTTGCATGCCTGAGGCCCTGGGTTCGATTCCTCAGCACCACATAAGAAAAAAGCCGGAAGTGGCGCTGTGGCTCAAGTGGTAGAGCGCTAACCTTGAGCTGAAGAGCTGAGGGACAGCACCCAGGCCCAGAGTTCAGACCCCACGACCGGACCCCCCCCCAAAAAAAAAAAAAAAACATTTTGCAAACTCAATAGCCAATCGCAGGAGGCTGAGATCTGAGGATCATGGCTCAAAGCCAGTCTGGGCAAGAAAGTATGTTTGAGGGCTGGGAAGGTGGCTCAGTGGTAGAGCGCTTGCCTTGCATGCATGAGGCCCTGGGTTCGATTCCCCAGCACCACATAAGCAAAAAGGAAAAAAGCCGGAAGTGGTGCTGTGGCTCAAGTGGTAGAGCGCTAGCCTTGAGCTGAAGAGCTGAGGGACAGCACCCAGGCCCAGAGTTCAGGCCCCACGAATGAACCCAAAAAAAAAAGAAAGTCTGTTTGAGACTCTTTTCTCCAATTAACCACTTGGGAGCAGAGTTGTGGCTCAAGTGGTAGAGTACTAGCCTTGAGCAGAAAAATCTCAGGACAGTGTCCAGGCCCTGAGTTCAAACCCCCAAGATCCCCAAACAGACACACAGGCGGACGTACACACACACACACCACCCCACCCTGGCAAAGCCATTCTGTTTCTGTCAAACTTCAGGCTCCAGTAATTCACTGAACAATACAGGCCTTCTTGCTTTCATATCTCCCCTTCTTGCTTTCATATCTCCTGTGTTTTCTCTAGCCAGAAACTTATTAGATATCTTTGCTATATTCTAAGAACACCTCAAAGCATGTCCAAAATCCATTTTCTAATGTCATCTCCCTCATATTACTTATTACCTATCTGAATGGTACTTAGTTCCCTAGGCAAAACAAACAGGTTGTTTTTCTTGGGTGCTGGGATTTCTTATGTATACTAAGCAAGCGCTCTATCACTGAGCTAACACCCCAAGCTTACTTCTTCATTCCCATAAATAACCAGTATTTAGTTCCTTAGAAACCATCTTTTATTTTCATGAGGTTTGAAATCAGAGCCTGGACACTGTCCCTGAGCTCTTTTGCTTAAGGCTAGTGCTCTACCATTTTGAGCTATAGTTCCACTTCCAGTTTCCTGGTGGTTAATTGGAGATGAGTCTCACTGACTTTGTCCAGGCAGGCTTTGAACTTGGATCCTCAGATCTCAGCCTCCTGAGTAGCTAGGATTATAGGCATGATCCTCCAGCTTCTGGCTCACTGGATAGCATCTTCTTAGCATTACTCAAACACAATTCCTCCTGGCTATTTACACTTCCTCTTAGTTCACACCATGACTATGCAATAGCTTTCCAACTTCCAAACATAGGTTTATTTTTCACTGTGGGAACTGAGAATCCTCCATGTCCCATAGATTCCAGGGTAAAAACCCAAAGTCCTTAGTATTCTTTAAGTCTCTCCACAGCACTTTTCACCACTTCTCCAAGCATTACTGGAATTCCAGATTACTAGTTGTATAGACTTCCACATGTCTAAGTCTCCATGACCTTATACATTTAATCCTGGGAAACCCTTTCCTAGATTTGGTAGGTAAATAAATATTGGAAGACTTAACTTCACATTTCTGCCTGGAAGCCTGGATCAGGTATTTCTCTAATGCTCTCAGGCTTGCGTTCACACAAGTACACACTGTAAGCCATCCCTACTTTACTTCTCTGCTCTCTCCCATATTGTAAACTCCATGGGAACAAATCTTTTCTTTCTTTCTTTCTTTTTTTTGTTGGTCCTGGAGCTTTACCTCTGGGGTTGGGCGCTGTCCCTGCGCTCAAGGCGAACATTCTACCACTTGAGCCACAGCACCACTTCCGGACTAGCCGGGCGCTGGTGGCTCACGCCTGTAATCCTAGCTACTCAGGAGGCTGAGATCTGTTGATCGCGGTTCAAAGCCAGCCCGGGCAGGAGAGACCGTGAGACTCCTATCTCCAATAAACCACTAGAAAACCGGAAGTGGCACTGTAGCTCAAGTGGTAGAGCGCTCGCCTTGAGCTCAGAGCTGAGGGACAGCGCCCAGGCCCAGAGTTCAAGCCCCACGACCGACAAAAAAAAAAGAGTCTCACGGACTTTCCTGCCCAGGCTGGCTTTGAACTGCAATCCTCATATCTCAGCCTCCTGAGTAGCTAGGATTACAGGCTTGAGCCACCGGCGCCCGGCCAAATCTTTTCTTAAAAGACTTAAGTGCCTCCTTTAATAAATGTTTCACACATATTAAGGCCCAATAAAAGTGTGGGAAATGATAGATGTGCTAGTCCACCCTCCACCTCTGATTTGCATTTAGAAATTCCTATTGAAGAGCTACAAATGGCACAATTCTGATGTTCACTGTCTAAATAATTTTCCCATTCCTTCTTCATCGCACTTACTTTATCCCTCAAATTTTTTCCAAACCCCTTGTACATACTGTCACAGTAGCCTCTTCTTCCCTAACATGCATTGCAGTTAAACTTTTTTTTTTGGTAGTACTCCGGATTGAACCCAGGGTCTTGCATATGCTTGACAAGCACTCTACCACTAGCCCTTAGGCCTATATAATTACTTCTTCAAAGTCTCAGCAAACACTGTTAACTCCATGAGTTTGTTTTGTTTCCAAGCCGCATTTCCTGATTCTGCCAGAATGTGGCACAGAATAAACTCGGTTACCCACTGGATTTAACTCTGTGAGGTGAGAGCACAGTTCACTTAAAAGATGACCAAAATGAGGCATTAAAAAAAATTAAATAAATGACCACTGCCAGATATCAACAGGGCCGGTCCTAACTTGAGCCATCTGATTTCAGGTCCAGATATAGACAACATCGCCAATAAAGTTACCTTGGTTTTTCAGAATAAAAGCAGTAGACTAGAAACAAGAGGAGGCAACCTGAATACCTGGACTTGCCTGCTTCACTCAAAAAACAACAACAACAAAAACCCAACTCTCTAGGTAGGTGTTCCAAGCAGCTGAACGATCGAGCAAACAGAGTGCCTTTAACCTAAGCTGTCTGGCCAGAAAATTACCCCCCAAGTTAAAGAGGCTGCAAGGAAACGAGCGAAGGAAGTATCTGGGATAGTCATTTGAAGAACTGGGACGGGACAATAATGGCCATTCTTTTCCTCCCAGGTTATCCTCTTCCCGAACAATTTACCCATCCGTGCAATGGGAGCGAGACCGAGAGCAGCTTAGACTCTAAAGGTCTCCGAGGTTTCTCTCCGTCAGGGCACTGCAGAAATCAGGCCTCCACTACAGCTGATGGACAGGGAAGTGAAATCGAGCCCAGAGCTTCCCAGGACCGCTGATCGCCCCGGCCCCACCTCAAGAGACCGCACCCAGGAGTCTGGGTCGGTCTAAGGGCCCCAACCCGGACCCCCTCCCCACGCAGAGCACATCACACGCAAGTAGGCCAAGAAGGCCAAGATCAATGCCAGGAGCCCGTGGGACCCAGAGGCGACCCTGGGGTCGCCGCACACCCTCACCTTAGGAGTTGTGCCTCACCTCGGTTCAGCGATCAGCGGCTCTCCACTTCCGGTAAGAACCGCCCAGCAATCTCCGCGCGACCCACTTCCGGGCCCTCCCTGGGCGCGGTAACTCCCCCGCCCCCCCACACCGGAAATGAGCCGCGGGATTGAAAAGGCTGGCTAGACTCAAACTCTGGGAGAAAGGCCGCTGAGATCCTGACTCCACCCCTACTCCCCACACCTAGGAGACTCGAGGCTGGCTCAAAGGTCACAAGGGAAAGGGATCTACCTCCTAGGCGAGAGCGCTCCCCAGAGGGGCTTGTCCACTAGCAGGTCCCGCCCCTCGACGGGCTGTACCCAACCGAAATCGCCCCCGAGGCCAGCTGCAAAGAGGAGCCGGAATCACCGGCTAAGCTCCGCCTCCTCCTGGAAAGCGGGCAGATAAGTGGCTGATGCTCCTGTCAGTTTGATTCCTGCAAAGGCCAGTTCATGTTCACTGAAAGGGTCTGGGTAAGGCTTGGTGGCGGGCGGGAGTCTCTGAGGGCGGAGAGGCCCCCTCGAGGCAAGCTCCGCCTCTCCTCAGGCTTGCACTCTTGGGTTGCCCCGCCTGCAAGGTGGAGGGCGGTAGGGGGTGACTCCCGGGGGCTGGACGCTGGAGGCCCGCCGCCGAGCGCGCGCCGTGGGCCCCTCCCGGAGCGTGTGGGCGTGCCCGGCCCGCAGGGCCCAGGGCTGGAAAGGTGGAGAAAGCGCTCCACTCTCGCCCCATTTCCTGTTTGCTCAGTGCGCTTTGTGACCATAGATGGTCAGGTCAGGGACCGCGCGGAAGCCTCTGCTCTGCGGCTTCCGTGTCCTCCTCCCTCCCCGCAGGGCGCGCGGGGTGTGGTCCCTGTGAAATGAAATGAGACTTACGCGGTGAGTCGGGCTCCGATCGCAGTCTTCTGAAAAACGGCTCTTGACACGGCTTCTTCCTGGGCGAGGCTTGCCCTCCCGGCTGCCGAGCAGCCCAGGGCTCCTTTCGATCGGGGGCTGCAGCCCGCCGGGAGACCTCGCTTCCTTGCCCTTAGACTGGAGACCACATCTTTGTTTCGTCAGGACTGACTCCTTCCAGCTGGTCATTATCTTCCCACAATGATTTATTTCTAGAAAAAGATTGGCGTGTGTTACAAACCCCCACCCACCCCAGACTATGACAGCACAGTGTTCGAGCTGAATGCAGGCGTTATATGCCAGAGTCAATCATTCAAATACCGTTCTTATAATAGCTACCATTACAAGCTAGGCTTGTACTGAGCACCCGAGCGCATTTTCATTTAATACTAACAGCAGCTCTGCGGTAGGTACTATTATATCCTCCGGGTTTCAAGTGAGGAAGCTGAGCCAAGGTCGCAAAGTACATGCTGGAACTTTGAAGGGAACACACTTCTGACTCAATACACCATGAACTTAATTAAACCCTATAATAGACCATTCTGGAATCAATTTGAGGTAGAATGGTCCAGTGCCTTTGGCCCTGAAGACAAGCTGGGTTCTATTTCTGACTTGGGTCAGACTTTGGTCAAGTCAAATGGGAAAACTTACTGGGCCTCTTGCCAGTTACATGACTTCCAGTATCTGTAATAGAAAAATGAATTGAGCCAGGTGCTGGTGGCCCTGCCGGAAATCCTAGCTACTCAGGAGGCTGAGATCTAAGGATCATGGTGAAGCCAGCCTGAGCAGGAAAGTCCATGAAACTTTTATCTCCAATAAACCACCCAGAAAAAGGCAGAAGTGGTGGTGCTGTGGCTCAAGTAGTAGAGTGCTAGGCTAGCTTTGAGACAAAGACTCAACTCCCTGTCCATGTTCAAGCCTCAGCACCAAGAAGGGGGGAGGAAGGGGTTGAAATCCATTGGTACAATCGTTTAAAGATAAAAATAAATTTCATAAAGAAAAAATAACATTAAGTATGGTACAAAAATCACTATATTTTAAAATATTTGCATCTTAAAAAATACTCTCACTGGGCTGGGAAGGTGGCTCAGTGGTAGAGCGCTTGCCTTGCATGCCTGAGACCCTGGGTTCGATTCCTCAGCACCACATAAACAAAAAGAAAAAAGCTGGAAGTGGCGCTGTGGCTCAAGTGATAGAGCACTAGCCTTGAGCTGAAGAGCTGAGGGACAGCGCCCAGGCCCAGAGTTCAGGCCCCACGACCAGGGACCTCCCCTCAAAAAAAATGCTCTCACACGTGCATTCATGTGTGATTATAGTCTCAGGCCTGTGATTAAACCCCCCAGACTACAGGCTCATCTCTGTAATCCTAGCTACTCAGGAGGCTAAGATCCAGCCCGAGTCTGTGAGACTCTTATCTCCAATTAACCACACACACACACACACACACACACACACAAAAGTGGTAGAGTACTAGCCTTGAACAAAAAAGCTCAGGAACAGAACAATGCCCAGGTCCCAAGTTCAAACTCCAAGTTCAACCCCTCCCCCCCCAAAAAAGAATGTATCTGAAACCTGAAACCAGTAGTCAGTTAACCTTGATGTTAGGCTGGACAATTGGGGATTTTTTGGGGGGGTGTCATTCTAAGGCTTGAATTCAAGACTTCTCTCTTGCCACTCTACTTTGTGCCACCCCCCCTCATGCACCTCCACCCCCCCACCTTCAACTAGTCCTCCTAAATCTCTTTGGAGTACTGTGGAGAAATGCATAGAGAAAGGGAGAGGGTGTGGGGCAGGGAAGGAGGATGAGAAAGAAGGAAGTTTCCTTACCTATAAAATGGGGAAGATAACTCATGGGATTGTGATAAGAAATGGGAGCAATAATCTCTGTGAAGTCCCTTTGTAAAACTGCAGTAAAGTGTGCACACACAAGTCAGCCCTTTCCCTAAGGTTCTTCTTTTAAGGATTCTAGACACCCATGCTTGTTAACTTCCATTGGATATAGTGTGAGAACAGCATCGGCCAATTTTTTTATTCATCTTCATACTGAAAGAAATTAATTGTGGACTTCTTATGTTACAGGTACTATAATATTTTATACTGGGCACAACTAGGGATACAGCAGGGGACAAGGGACACTCTGTCAATATCATCATGGAACACACAGCCTATTTTGGAAACAGGTGTGACCATCAGAGGTGGTTGAAGATGTTCTGACTTCTGACTTCCAGCATTTTTTTTCCTCATTGGCCTTGCCCTGTTTCCAGTACCAAGTACCTCAGCTATAGTGAATTTTCATTTATCATGTGTTCATTAAGTACCTTGAGTTCAGAAGACTCATTTCCTAGGCTGATATGGATGGGTAGATGATGAAGAGAGGGCTGGGCATGTGGCTTAGTGGTAGAGTGCTTGCCTAGCATGCATGAAGCCTTGGGTTCAATTCCTCGGTACCACATAAACAGAAAAAGCCAGAAGTGGCTCTGTTGCTCAAGTTGTAGAGTGCTAGCCTTGAGCAAAAGAAGCATGGGCACAAGGCCCTGAGTTCAAGCCCAGGTCTGGCAAAAAAAAAAAAAATGTAGAGAATGGATAAATAGTAGTGAGTATGGGAAGAAACTGCGCCAAGTTCAGATGAGAGGTTTCTATAGGAGAGGAATAAGAGATAAGGCTAAAAAAAAGAGACATATTTCTGTATGAACTTTGGAAGAGGCACAAACATTCAAACTATAGCACTTTGGGGACAGATCTAGTTTGAAGGGTCATATTTAAATCACCTCTTTTCAGTTATCCACTTCATCATTCCTTTCATAAAATAGTGTCTTCTGAGCTGGTACTAATGGCTCATACCTGTAATCCTAGCTACTCTGGAGGATGAAATCTGAGGATTGTGGTTTGAAGCCATGAAAAGTTCATGAAACTCATCTCCAATTAACCACCAAAAAGGCAGAAGTGGAGCTGTGGCTCAAGTGGTGGAGCAGCAACTTTGAATGAAAAAGCTAAGGGACAGCACTCAGGCTCTGAGTTCAAGCCCCAGTACTAGCACCAAAAAACAAAAACAAAAAACACTCAAACAACAACAACAAAAAAGTCTCAGATGTTTTGTTATAGTTTTAAGAAGTGTTAAGAAATCAGGCAAACATTTTCATTCAATACGACTTTTCCTTCTTAGCAATATTATAATCCTAGTTATTTGTGCAGTTATATTTGTGTGTGTGTATGTGTGAGAGAGAGAAAGAGAGAGAGAGAGAGCATTATGGGGCTTTAGCTCAGGTTTCCTGGTGGTTAATTGGAATCTCACAGACTTTGGCTTTGAACTGTGATCCTCAGATCTTAACCTCCTGAGTAGCAAGGATTACAGGAGTGAATCACCAGCACCCAGCGTACAATCATCTTTAATGTCTTTCTCCCTTATAAGTTCCTTTTTCCCCATGAATCCTTATGTATCTGGCATAAAATTAACACTTAATAAATATCTATAGAAAAAAATGGACTAAATAAAAGCATGAGAGAGGTCAGGGTATCTGTAAGACTTGGAATGTGGGTGATAGAAAGTGACAGGAGCTCTGGTTCCAAGTTTGGGGACTTTATGAGTCTCAGACCTCAAAATCCAGTTTGGTAAGAAAAGGAGAGAAAGGAATGCAGTTAATCAGTTTACAAGCAAGAAATGCAACAGAGAGACCATTGATTCTCACATATGCCCCCTGTTCCTGTATATCATTACCTTTTCTTTTTTTTTTTTTCTTTGCCCGGATTTCAGCACATTCCAAACCTGCAAAATTGTTTTGTCTTAGAGGGTGCTACCCTAGTTTCCTCCTTATCTCTCAGGGTTTCAGACACTAAAGTCTGGCAGTTCATCTGGAGCATTTCCCAGCCTGGCTGAGAGTACTGTGAGCATCTGTGCAGCTTGGCTCAGAGCCTGACTGCATTTGGGCAGATCCTATATCCCCTGCCAGAAGGAGCTGATGACAGTAGTCTGACTTTGTTCCCTTCCTATGGTAGGGATCCAGGCTCCAGCCTGAGCTAGGGATCCTGGGCCCAAATTTACAAGTTGTCAAAAGAAATAGCAACAATATAGTTTGGTAGTTAAGGACTGACTGGCTTTGAGGTCACCCTGACCTAAAAAGAATCCCAACTCTGCTACTTACTAAGGTAGGATTATCCTCATTTAACCTCAAAGTAGGAAATTAAAACCCATCATGAATGGTTGACATGAATTAAAAAAAGATAAAAAAATTATTTAAAAGGCAACTCACAGAAAACAATGAATTGTAACAATTATTTTTCAATACAGAAAATCTATTGTCTGTGTCCCTGATGAAGACCACTAGAAGTAAAATAGTCTGAAGTGTCAAAATA